CGTCAACACTCCATAAGATGTTCGTATGCGAAGTGTAAACGTTGCCCCCGATGATCTGCTGTTAATAGAGGTTCCGGTATGCTGGACCTGAATACATATTTATTTAAGTGTGAATAAAACACAGTATAAAACTGTGTTTCTATGGACATCATTTAATCGTTGAACAAGTACTGGTGCCGGTAATGTAGGATCGTGTAACGCTTGTAACCTAAAAAAGCGATCTTCAACTTGGTTTGCGGTTCTTCGTCTACCTTGACCTGACCTCCTGGTGTATTGTCCTGTTTCCCGAAATCTTTGTATTGTATCAAACACTGTACTTTGAGAAGTTCCTAAAGCATTTGTGATATAACGAATGCTCTGCCCATTATCCTGTAAAGCAACAGTTTGTGCTACTTCTTCTGGTGTCATAATTTTTTTATAGCAAGTTTTAAACAGGAGACAATACAAAAGCCTACAGCCGAACTTATAATCAGGTACAGCACTACAATAAACTTATATTACTAACCACTATTTCACATTAATAACAAAATGTATGTGTACAAGTGTTAATGTTTGCACAAAACATCTAAACAGGTTCAAACAAAAAAAAAAGTTATCGCATATAAGGTATAAAATACAATTCAAACAAATTAATCAAGTTTTGATCTAAATACCAACAAAAAACAAAAAAATCTTACTGCCCGGTTAATTTAGCAGTCCAGTTTAGATTGAGAAAGATTCATTTCAAATCCAATATTGCAAAAAATATAAAAAAAAATATAGTAGACTGCAGATTACTGAATCAAAAATTATTTTTCAAAGTTTATTCATTAGTTTTAATCTGTTAATGATTGACGTATTGTAGGTATTGTGGTTGTCAACGATCCTGTGATAAACGAAAAGAACTTTACGACAACTGAATGGTTATTTACCACTAAGCCACATTTATTTGGATTGATCAACGGTTTAGCGAACCCAACAGGATTTGCTTTATTATTTATTTTAATTGCAATTTTCATCAGTTCTCAAGCATTTGTTCGTAGAGGAGGATGTTTTGAGGTACGTACTGCATTTTACTATCTATGGTCGGTTTTTTGGTCTCCATTCTCACTACATGACCAACCCATCGAAGTATCTGAAGTTTATCGAATTCTGAGATTGGTGCCTTTCTGAACAGTTGGTAGAGTTCATGGTTGTACATGATCTCTATACTCCGTTTTCGCTAATATGCTCAAATGGCTTCCTTAGTGCATTTCCTTCGAAGACTTCCAGTTTTCGTTTTGTGTCCTTTGTCATCACCCATGTCTCGCATCCATAACATACTATTGGTCTCATAACACATATTCTCTAACTATTGCATTTTCTATCGTTTCTCTAGTATATCGTGTTTACTCTATTAATTTTCCTATGAATTGTCCTATATCTTTTGTTTGATCTGCCCATTTAGTTAATATAACATTTTCATTATTGATTATTGTAATGTTACATTTTGTATGGGATAAAAAAATTTGCTATGTGCCCAATCTATAAAAAGAGTGATATTTTAGATCACCGCATCTGCAAAGGGATCGATATAATATACACTGCCTACAAATATTATCATATGTACTTTAAAGCCATACAATTTCCTAGTATTTGCTGAATACAAGGCAGTGCGTACATCATGCAGTTTATGATGTGTACGTTCTTGGACATTGAAGGTAGAAACTCTATCAAAACTTCAGGCTTTTGAGCTATGGTATTCAAGAAAGACAACACAGGTATTTCGTATAGAAACCAACAAAGTCATCATAACCAGAATGATCGCCAACGTTCGGAATGGACAGGCACCCTAAGAAGACGTTCTTCCCTATTTTGCGATTCTTTTATAAATAATCTTTCACTTTAAGGTTATAATTTTGTGTTCTTAGACGGGTCCTGCTAATTGCTTTATCAGTCTCTTTCTCGGATCCGTATGTGAGTATGTGTCTACTCCCTTTCACAGACCCTTCATACTTCTCACAACATTAGTTGCCCAATTTTTTATATAGTCGTTAACTGATGTTAACTCGTGACTGATAAAAGCATGATCCACTGCTTATTCCAGTTATATTATATTCCAGTTATTGCTATAAAACCTACTCTGGTCGTCAGAATTCCTTGGATCTTTAGTTGAGAGATAGTTGAGATTACCTAGAGGTCTCTTTTACCTTCAGGTTCTGCCGGTACCACGGCATTAATTTTTGTGGATTTGTTATCCTACCAGACATTTTGCCTCTCTCTTCATCATCTCTTATTGAGCTCCAGAAAGGTTTTGATGACTGATTCAGTGTCTGTTCCTCTCAAAACACCTTCTAGCTGAGTATTTGGGACTAAAACAGAATCCGCGACTGGAATCTGATTGTTTCCATTGTGTTTATATTTATAAGCTCAGAAGAGTTATTCATTTCTGAGCTTTCGACTAAGGGATCTCTTTTATCTTTTCCTTATTATCTTGTTTTTGCCTTTATTTCAACGATTTGGGTCGAAATACTGTCAGACACTACATACCAAAGAGTTTATAAGCTCTTTGGAACATCCCTTGACAAGTCTTTTTTCTTGTACCATGCATAACCTGGGCAAGTTGTGGTGTAACTGTCAGCCACCAGCTTCTTATTTTTATTTACACTTTATTAATGCAGATGTGAAAATAATTTTCACATTTTTGCTGTTTTTAATTATAAATGCTTACAATATACTTTTTCCCCAATGTATTTTTTTTTAGTTGAGGTTTGTGTTTTGTGACGTGGTTTAAGTAAATGGCTTGTTCTTATAAAGAATCAACTTTACTGGCTTTAAAAATAGTTGCATGTTATATTCGAACAATCGCAATAACTCGGATGACGCGAAAAATACTTCCTCGACCGGATTCATACTGGTAACTGTTCAAACTGTTGATTTTATTTTATTTTTAGGTTTTTTATTACACCCATCTCATGTATGTTCCTTTTTGGATCCTACTAATTCTCCATGGACCAAATTTCTGGAAATGGTTTATTATTCCTGGATTAGCTTACGGTCTTGAAAGAGCTTATAGATCAACTTTTATTGTTACCGAAAGAGGCAAAACATATATAAGTTCAGGTCTATTGCTTCCATCTAAGGTTACACATTTAGTTATAAAAAGACCAGTAAGTTTTGACTTTCATCCAGGAGACTACGTATTTGTTAATATCCCAGCAATCGCTAAATATGAATGGCATCCTTTTACTATTAGCAGTGCTCCAGAGCAAGAAGGTATGTTTTTTAGGCTCTTTATTTATAGTCCCAAATTTTATGTTTCCCATTAAAATTTTGTAAAAATAAGTTCTGGATAGATACTGAAGGAAATGAATCCACGAACCTTCGAAAATGGGCGCAGTAAGACGGATTGAGATGCAGTTTGATGTATTCGATTCCTGAGAGCGTCAGGAAATTTTATGGACCAATGCGATCGTAAAAAAATCAAAAATTGCATTTGTGCATAAGAAAAATGCATTTGGAAAATGAAGTTTCCAGAGTATTTTATTCAATATTTGCTGAGTTAAAATTTTTTCGTGATTGCATTAGTTCACAAAATTTCTTGACATTCTGTCACAGAATATTAAACAATCAGAATTCCCACTCTCAGATGCCGCCATTGAAGTTTGTCAGCACGTAAACGCCATGTTTTAGACGGAAACACAGACACGGAATGCGAAATTTGTGACATGCTACGATAGAACCATAATTTAAATTTTTAGATATTAATAATTTAGTGCATTTGAAATAATATAATATATTCTTCAACTAACTACGAATAAAATAGTGCATAATATTATGTTTGTAGTTGCCGTGAATAAATTAAACCGGGTTAATCTGTCTATCCACATTACGAGATGCGCATACTTATTTTTTTAAGCAGAGAGGGCATTCTGATTGTTTATTATTCTATGGTTCTGTCATACTACGCCGATTTTCGAAGGTTGATCCAATTTTTGTGCTTCATTCCCTCGTCTACTCTATTTGTAGCATTATTAGTAATAATTTAAAAATCTAAATGTAAGTAAAGTAAGTTGAGGCATTAGACTGTGTAAAACAATTTCTAAAATAATCAGATAAAATTTGGTAAACTTAATACAATGAGCTTTGTGAAGTAGAAAGTGTTGTTTTTGAAAATATGTTCGAAGAAGCCTCTGAAGAGGAGCTAATCAGTAAGTAGGATGCAAAAGTTTTGCCTGGTCGTCGAGGCAGTTATTACTGGTCCAAATGTTTCAAGTAATGCTCTACCCTGTAGAAGTAATGTAGTTCCATTGACGATATCTCAAGAGAACGTTTGTCAGCTCCAGGTTGAGGAAGAACCAAGTGACAAGAGTACAGAAGTAATAAAAAGCAGAGCACCCGACTTAAATGAAACATATTCGCGAAGTTATCGGGTGGGACAAACTACTCAAAGATTAAGTGACATTGTCTTAGATTGTAATTTTGGTAACTCTCTAAATTTTTTTAAAATGGGTCGAGTCAATAAACACTTAAGTTTCTATAAGAATTCCTTAACAATTTAGCACCTGACTACCACTATACTGGTAGTTCGACTTTTCTGTAATACACTGACTACCACTTTACTGTCTCACAGCTCTACTAATTTCAATGCTTTATATATAAACGTAGACCAGAGTCCAGAAGTAAAGGAATAAGATGTAGATGTCGTATGTATGTAGTCTTTGATATTGTAATCTCTTCCATTATATTAGTAGTCAAATTAAACAATTTGGATCAAGAAACCATATCGGCGACTACTTGTATCTTTAAAAATAAACTTGATAGCTCTTTATCTTATTTAAAGGATTGTGTTATTTTAGGACCCCATTATCTATTTATTGTTTCAGAATTTTCAGAATTTGTAACTTTATAATTGGTATTAATTTTATAAGGATATTTTTCTTTGCTTTTTGGATATAATATGGGTTGGCTCCTCTACCCTCATTTGTTATATAATAATAATATTAATATTTTAGATTATATGTGGCTCCACATTCGAGGAGTTGGCCAGTGGACAAACCGTTTGTACGGATATTTTGAAAAAGAACAAGAAAAGCTTCATAATGGAGAAATACCACCATCTACACCTGCAGCACCCGTGAAGAGACTATCAAATGGAAGTATTACTAATAATAACCAAAATCCTCTAAAGAAACTTCACGCTACAGTTGCACGGACGTTATCAAATCAAAACAAAAAGCCTGCAATACAGCTTGTTGGATTTACCAATGGCAGCTTTCAAAATGAGCAAACTCCAAAAGATCCCAAATGTGAGACTGAAACCAATTTTAGAGCAGCTTGTAGTACGGCAGGTAAAATTTTTGAAAATGGTTTAATGTTACATTAACTGTTAATTAAATTTAAAAATCTCATTCTTTCATTTTTAGATTTACCAAATTCGAGACCTAGAAAGTTGTCACCAGAAAATAGACTTCACAGATTCCTCTTTACTAACAAAGCACCTCTAGAAAAATCTTTATCAATGCCAGATATGCAAACTAAGGCAAAAAGAAGAGAAAGATTAATGGTGTAAGTTTATCTCGTAATTTACCCAGTATTTTTTTTTCTAATGATTTTTGATGTGCAAAGTCACGCCACTTTTTAATAATCATTACATCGGTGGCAGTTGCTTCTTTTTCTGTTCGACGTAAGTAGCTGTCAGTTGCAAAACTGTTTTGCCTTCAGCGTGGCTCATTTTATTTTCTTCAGCTTTTTCTCAGCAGCATATTGTCGTTATCCTTCTCATTTTCTTGCCGAATGACACACTCGGCGATTTCGTCGTCGTTCAAAACCTCATTGTGTAGCTCCTTTTGTTGATCCACTCCAAAATATCTTCTATAACAATGGGACCACAGTTCGGTAGTTGCTGAAGGTCGTGCAATAGAGCTGCATTGTCATCAGGTTCGTTAACAAGAATGTTGTTTGGCTCATTTGCTGATGTGTTTGCTTGGTCAATCTTATCTTCTATATTTGGCTAAAGTTTTTTTCAAGTCTTTACAAACGTCGATTTCAGCACTTTTGAGAGGTCTAAGTTGTCATCAGCCTCCAGTTTGGAAAGAACTACAGAATTCAGTTTTCGGCGATACTTTCCCTTATAGCACTCAATGACCCGTTGGTCCATTGGTTGTTGAAGACTGGTTGCATTGGATGGCAGGAACAGCAGTTTAATTTCTTTTTCATCGTCATACTGAAGACCGTCCTGGTGAGTAGGCGCGTTGTCAAGCAGTAGAAGTGCTTTGATGGGCAGATTTAATTTTGTCAAATGGTTTTTCACTTTCGGAATAAATTTGCACACAAACCATTCCCTGAACAAATATGTGTCCATCCATGCTGATTTCTACAACCAGTAATACACTGGTAGAGTTGCCATGTTTATGTTCTTAAACGCTCTCCACGTTCTTAAACGTGGCAAAGGTTGTACTTTTTCCCACGTTCAAATCTTATGCACAGATTCTCCTTTGTCCAATCTTTCCAGAGCTTGTAGTGTCTGTTCCATTAACTTATACTTACGTTTACGCGTTTCATTCATTTTAAAGCAGTTTATTACACGACGCGAAACAGTTATTATCCACGCGCACACAACAACTATTACTGTCTTCTGTCTTTATAAACAGTAAAGGTCGATTCAGACACATCAGTTCCGTCACAGTCTCGGCGCCGAACCGGTCCTGTTTGGTCAAAGAACTATTAATTATTTGACAGCTGGGAAACTGTTCGTCGCCTGATGAATGTGAATGCCGGCGCCATCTTTCTATTAAAGAATATTTTGTATGACGGATTGTTCGGTTCGGCGCCAGGACTGTGACGAGACGTGACTGATGTGTCTGAATCGACCTTTAGAATCGCAAGTGAAACAATAATCACTGACTGTAGGCCTACCATAAAGATGAGTGCTTTACCTGCTCGCGTCTGACATGCGCTCGCCAAGTGTGTGACTAATGCTCAGAGAGCCGGCTGAACTAAGCGGAAACCTAACTAACCGAGGCCGAACCTATATACGATAGTCTACTGTACTGTTAATCATCAACTGTTGACTATTTTTTAATATTTATTTTACCTCTATCAATATTCCCTGATACCTAGACACATTTAATAAAATATTAAGTTTTTAGTTTAAGAGTTTTCTGTAGGTACTCCATATTTTATTATTATTATTATTTTTTTATTTAGATTAAGAGAATATATGAGATCAGAATCAGAAAAAAGTTTTAATGAGTGTCAAATACGCAGAGCGAGACTACAATCATTGGGATTGGCTTACCTGAGTCCACAAAATAAGAGTTTGGCTCAAAGTTTTAGATACATGAGAAACAAACCGACAATTATAGCATTTAAAACACCTAGCTTGGAAGACTGCGAAAAGAAGAACTCGACTACATCTTTACGTCAAATGGGTAAGTCAAATAAGTAAATATGAGTCTTTATATTTTGGAAGTATTATTAGGTAAACCAAGTTTACTCAATTTTCTTTCTGGTGCATTAATTCTCCCTTCCTTTTTATAATAGACTATATTAAATTTAAAATACACAGTTGGGCGCAATAGTAATTCAATTACGGTTAGTTGCAATGAGCCTAAGAAGCTACTTTTGTTTTATTTTGATAATAGCGTCATTTTTAATCCTGATAAAACTCTTCTCTACTTAGTTACAGAAGGCGTCAGAATATAAAAATATTGAATAAAAGACAGTTGTCAAGTACCAGGATTCATTAAAACAACTGTACCAGTCGCTCTGATGAATCCTGCTAGTATGAAATACGTATAAGCGAATATACAGAGGAACTGTACGAGAAATTAATTCTTAACTGTCTTTTCTTTTATTTCGGTTTACTATTTATGAGTACACTGAACCAGTTCGCCAAGGATTTTTGCCTAGATGAGGAGATATGTTGTGGAGTGGAGTGGAGTCCATACATCTCTTACACTTTTATCTACGTCTGTTTTGCCTTGCAGTTTATAGAAGGCACAGATTAAAGCAAAAATCTGAATTTTGGTTTCGACAAAGAAATCTTTGAATTTGTACTTTGGTGGTATACCGGGTGGTGAATCGTCAAACGGGCCATAGGAAACTCAATGGGAAATTTTAAATTGTTGAATTGCTGCTTCCCTAATTATTTTAGATCAAAATTCATAAAAAACTATTTGTAGAGGACTAAATTCTGAATTAAAAACAAATGTTAAAACGAATCAAATGTACTTCAAAATTTTGCAAAAATATAATAGATTTTTCAGATCACCCCTAATAGTTAGGCCACACGTAATACAAGAATATATTAAAAAGTGTGTGTTCTATCCATTTATCATATCGACACAGAATAATAAACAATCAGAAGGGCCACTCTCAGATGCCGCCTTTGAAGTTTTTCAGCACGCGCGCCATGTTTTAGGAGGACACAAACATATGATTTGTGTGGTTATGTAATTGTTTATATTTATGTTTAATTATATTATATTTATGTTATTATATTTAACAATGTTAATATAATTGTATAGTATGTCTATGATTGCCGTAAGTCAAATAAACCTGGTTAATTTTTCCATGCACACCACATAAACAACACTAATTTCTTTAAAATCCTCCTAAAACATGGCGGAACGTCTGCGCGGAGGAGATGCGCGTACTTAATTTTCCGTGGAGAGTGGGTATTCTGTTTGTTTATTATTCTGTGATATCGATGTCAGATGTTTGACAATTTGAATTGTCAATTTTTTTTATTTTATGATTAAATTATAAACAATGAATTTTACTAAATACTACTACTACTGAACAATATAACTTTGTGAACAATAAATTATATTGTTTACAAATCGATCAATATAATGAAATGTACTCAGTTGACGAAAAATTGCATAATGTTGTATTCAGGCAATAGCGCGAACCTTTTCCTGTCACTACCGGATCCTTTATTTAACGTAAGATATTCTAATACACTAAAATTTAATTTCATGTTAAGTTAAGTTATACAACAATTCAATGAATTCCAATATACTGTTACTGTGATCTTTATTCCTAATAGTAATATATGATAATTTCTAAACATAAAACTATAACAAATGTTATAATAAAACATGAATAAAACATTTTTATTATTGCTCTTTTCTCCTTAACTGAGTACATTTTTTAATCAACTTAATTTTTCTGTTAAATAATAAATCACAAAATTTTGGCCATTTAAATCATAGATAAAATATAATATAGTTGATTTAAATATTGTGAAATATTAGAAACGTCAATATGACAAAACGCAACACGTAATACACATTCTTTTCACGGCGTCTGGCCTGACTTTTAGGGGTGGCCTGAAAAATGTATTATATTTTAGCAAAATTTTGGAATACGTTTAAGTCGTAGAACAATTTTAACAGTTGTTTTCGATACATATTTGAGTCCTCTACAAATAGTTTCCCATAACTTTTGGTGTAAAATAACTAGGGAAGCAGGAATTCAACAATTTAAAGTTTCCCATTGAGTTTCCTATGGCCCGTTTGACGATTCACCACCCTGTATAAAAATATTGATTTTATCGTGCAAAAGTAAATTGTGCTAAGTAAATGTGCTAAGTAAATGTAAAGTAAATTTTATGGTCACTTATTATCAGATGATGTTTGTCATTCTTGTACACTGTTAGGTACGTACGGATCATAAACGAACACAGTATGTGAGAAGTAGATACTATTTTGGCACTTTTTGAATTCATAGTTGGATAGTCTTTTTATGGCAATCCTAAAAGTGTATATTTCACTATACAGGGTTCGTCATTGTTTTTTTTTTATTGCACAACAATTGCACAGGAATTGTATTAGTAGTATCTAATAATTTCATTTATTTCAGTTCGCCAAATAAGTCAGAAAAGTTTTACCTTTTCTCCAGAACGACAAGTAGAAGAAGGTCAAGTGGGCTTGACATTCACTGATGCTACGTTCTCGCCCAATTTGGTTTCTTTAAGACCAATGAATTATCCAGTTGGAAAACCATTGGAAGTAAGTATATTTATACTTATAAAGTCATAATATAGATTGTAGATAGATAGTAGATAAAATAATCCAGTATCGTTTAAAATGAAAAGCTTGCAGTGGTAAAAGCGCATAAAGTGCATTAAACATTGAGTCGAAAACTTGTCTTCATTTTGAGATCTGTTTGCAAAACTACTAAATATGGCCTGCATTTTAGAAGAATAAACACAAAAGTAAATTACTTGAACTACATTCAGTCAATCGCTAAACAATTGAGATTGCAGGACCATAAGACATTCACATTTTCTCAAAAAATTAGGATTAGAATTCTTGCAAGAATATAATTAGTAATTTATTAATAATTATATTTATAATTAGTAAGTTATTTGAACCAAATTAATTATTTATCTATGTTTGATTTAATACCAAAGATAGGTACAAGCTCTTCACTAGGTTAGTGATATAAAGATTGGAGAAAAATTTATATTTCGACCAACCGAGAGAGCAGGCAGGATTCGGTTCAGATTATGGTACCAATGATCACCTCCATACAGTAAAGACACTCATTAACTTACAATATTTGCAAAAATGTCAGTATGAGTGTTAAGATACACGATAAAACCCGACCAATCAAAATAAAAAGTGTGATAAGGCAAGGAGGTACATTGTCACCGAAACTATTCATAACGGCATTAGAGTATGCCCTTAAAATGGTCCCAGATAAAAAAAAAGCCACAGATATGTTAAATTAATTAGACTTTGTATGTTCGAAGGCCGGCCTCAGAATGAACTTCACCAAAACTAAGTTAATGACAAATATGGTCCCCAATAACCATTTAACTATTCAAGACAAAGGGGTAGAACTGGTGGAGAAGTATATGTATTTGGGTCATGAAATAAGAATCAGCAGGAATATCCAAACATACGAAATCCAAAGACGAATTACTTTAGCGTGAGCAGCCTTTGTAAAAATGCGAGACATACTTAGGGCCAACATACATATTAGCCTCAAAAGAAACGTATTTGACCAAGACCAATATATATATATATATATATATATATATATATATATATATATATATATATATATATATATATATATATATAATGAATACTGGATATTCGTGACTGTCAATTTAAACAAACAACAAAGTTTATTGGGGCTGCAGTCAGAAGTTTGGCCAGGATGTTACAGAAACACTCTTTTGACTTTTGGTCTAGCTTTTAACTCTTTAGCTCTTAACTAGGAATTGTTTAATTCCTTTATCAAGACACTGTAATTATAAAAATGTGTAAATATTTACAATATATCACAAAATGTCAGTGTACGTACTAGTCGTTGAGATTATTTGTAAGAAGCTATGACACTCAACATTAATAACAAACATTATCAACTATAACTTATACAATAATGGATACAATACATTTTAAAATTTAGTTAAAAATAATAAAAGTTCTAAAAATTCGTTTTCTACATCTTCTTGGTGTGTTTTAACTTACCCATAGAGAATAAAAAAAAACAAAAATAAAAATAGTATGATTAAAAATTCATTAGGAGTTCTTCATATGTTATTAATAGAAGGTGTTTGTTATTAATGTTGACTGTCATAGCTTCTTACAAATAATCTCAACGACTAGTAAGTACACTGACATTTTGTGATATATTGTAAATATTTACACATTTTTCTAATTACAGTGTCTTGATAAAGGAATTAAACAATTCCGAAAGCTAGAACAAAAGTCAAAAGAGTGTTTCTGTAACATCCCGGCCAAACTTCTGACTGCAGCCCCAATAAACTTTGTTGTTTGTATATATATATATATATATATATATATATATATATATATATATATATATATATATATATATATGGAACAGTCTTGCTGGCAGTGATGTTGCGGATCGAATAAGGAACGAAGATCTGCGAAGTAAGATCATCAAAAATTGACAACAAAGAGCACAAAATCGTAAAAAATTTAGGAGTTTAAGGGAGACCTATGTCCAGCAGTGGACTGGATAAATTGAGACTGGATGATGATGACATTAAGAACATAAATAGCAAAACTGAGAAAAAGAAGAAAACCTAGAAGACACCGGATGGCAGCAGTGGAGGGAGATTATGGAGTTAATAAAGCACTACTACTAAAAAGAGTTTAATTAAATGCCGTTATTTCATTGAGTGAGTTTGTTAGTTGTCTTACTTATGTATTTATACTTTTATTGTTTCTAAAAATTATGTTACATTATATTATTTATTAATCAGAAAATTCTTTGTAAGCGAACAAAATCCAGAAATATAAAAAGGGAAAGATGTGAAGATTTACGTATTCAAGTTTTGGATAAGGAAGGAACTGAGGTGATTTGATGTATCATTGTTTTTGTATTTCGATGTTTTGTATTACTAACTATAAAATGGTTTGATTAAAGCTTTGATGTATAATATTGGCCAAAATGTACATATACATTTTTTTACTTTTAAATACATATTATTAAACTGATAACATCTTCTTTGTCTCCTGGCAACTCTTCACCACTGATCTCGAGAACTCCATCTTTGGCATTCAATACAGCCTTAATTTTCCTTAGTAAATCCATCCCCAATATGAAGTCGTCGGAGATCTCTGCAATTAATACTCTATGTTTCACTGTGGTCTGGCCAATGCGTACTGACATATTAGCCTCGCCATATGTAATAATTATCTCACCAGTTGCTGTTCTAAGCTTTACTGTTGCACGCGATAATTTAAGATGGCGTCGTACTACTTCTGGACGTGCAATAATTCTTGTTGCATCTGTATCTACCGTAAACGATCTATATTTATTATTGATACAACCCTCGATGTACAAGCTATGAATTCCACCAAAGGACGTAATGTTCACAGTTACTATAGGGGCTGTGTTTCTCGAGGTCGGCAGTTGCCCCTTGGTGTCGCCCCGTTCTAGCATTCCGACTGTTGTATCATTTTCTTACCATTATGGCGAATATGGTCGACATCATTACAATTACAACATCTGGGCTCACGTCTCTTTGGCATCGTGTTACGTATGTACCATTGGTACCATTTCTTCCAGACGTTCACCATTTGGTTCGTCGCCTTTTTCAATGGTTCTTACTTAATGAAGTTCTTAGTCATGAAGTTTGACGCTGTTTCATGTTCCAAGGCAATAGCGAGCGCTTCATCTAGAACTTTCGGTCTTGCTAGTCGTAAAGCTTTCCGTAATTCATTGTCTTTTAACCCATTGACGAAGATATCCACAGCAATTTCTTCCAAAATGTTGTCTGGTGCCTCTGGATAAGCTAATCGCACTATACGAGCAACATCTGCTTTAAACTCTTGCAAATTTTCATTTGCTCGTAGAATTCTACTTCTTAGTTGCGCCTTGTAGACCTGGTGAACAAGGTCTGGTAATACTTTTTTTGGCCCTTAGGAATCGATCTTAGGATATCTACAACATCACCTCGTAAATCAGCAGTCAAGGAAGCAGCTTTTTCTTGTTTAGTCCAATGATTGGCTGTCGCAATAGCTTCAAATTGTCTAAGGTATATGGACCAAAAAGACTTTTAATCAAATGGTGGCAATTTGAAACTCATATGATGTGTCGTTTCGTCTCTAGGTGATTCTTCTTTCACTATCGGATCTAAAGCTATTGTATTAATTGATGGTAGCACTTTCGTGTTAGTTATCATGGTCTCTAATTGTTTGATCTCATCTTCTACTTTATCGAATGTTTTAAAAACTTCTTCAAATTTCTTATTGTTCTTTCTAGACGTTTCTTCCAACATTTG